ATCCCTTACCATGGCGTAGATCTCCTCTCGATTCGCACAATAAGATGTCATAAGATGGCATAGCAGTACATGGAATAGCATGGTGCCGAAGATCAACGCGTAGCATGACATAGCATGGCGTGGCGACGCCCCCACGTGGGGGGGCTTCTGCGGCCAAAAAAATCAACGAACCAACGCCGAATGTGTAATACTTCCGATGGTTTCTTCGGGAGGCCATTTTCTAGATTTGGGGGCCTATGTGGAAGGACCGAAAACCATGCCGTGGCAAGGCACTGGAAATAAAAACGCCAGCGCTGCAGAGCGGAAGCGCGGAAATGAGGCCAAGCCTGCAGCGGGACAACGATGCGGAATGAGCGCTAGCCCGAAAATGAGGCCAGCGCTTCAGCGAGAGCAGCACTGGGGACAAACACATACATACATATTCATGTTCGAATAAAAACACGCGGAAGCGCAGAAATGAGGACGCGTAGCCCTGAAATAGCATGGCTATGCGACGCCCCAAAGTGAGGGGGGACTTCTGCGGCCCGACAAAAACGAACCGACACCGAACGTGGAATCACTTCCGATGGTTTCTTCGGGAGGCCACTTCCTAGATTTGGGGGCCTATTTGGAAGGGTCGAAAACCATGCCGTGGCATGGCGCTGGCAAATAATGACGCCAACGCTGCAGCGGGAGCACGATTCGGAACGAGCGGAAGCGCGGAAATGAGGCAATCGCTGCAGCGGGGGCACGATCCGGAACGAGCGGTAGCCCGAAAATGAGGCCAGCGCTTCAGCGAGAGCAGCATGTTGAACAAAACCCACGAGCGGAAGCGCGGAAATGAGGACGCGCAGCCTGACACAGCATGGCGTGGCGTCGCCCCAAAGTGGGGGGGGGCTTCTGCGGCCCGAAAAATCAACGAGTCGTCACCGAATGTGGAATCACTTCCGATGGTTTCTTCGAGAGGCCATTTTCTAGACAGGAAACCATGCCGTGGCCAGCGCTGCAGAGGGAGCACGATTCGGAACGAACGGAAGCGCAGGAATGAGGCCGGCGCTGAAGCGGGAGCACGATTCGGAACGAGCGGTAGCCCGAAAACGAGGCCAGCGCTTCAGCGAGAACAACATGTTGAACAAAACCGGGCGAAAACCCAACTGCCGGGAGTCCTGTGCAAAAAAAACGTACGCGGAGGGGGCCGAACATCTCCCTGACGCCACCAGGGGAGAGAGGAGAATAGTATTCCGATTGTGTAATTGTGGAGGAGGAGAAGGAAGAGGAGGAGGAGGAGGAGAAGGCGCATCGAGGTTCAAACTGGGTCGGGGATGGACGACGGGGAGAGGGGGAGGCGGAGGAGGAAGAGGAAAAGGAGTAGAACAACCGAGAACGGATGAGGACGAAGAAGAAGGGGAGGAGGAAGGGAAGAGAAGGAAGAGGAGGAGGAGGAGGAGGAGGGGGAGGAGGAGGAGGAGGAGGAGGAGGAGGAGGAGGAGGAGGACGAAGAGGAGGAGGAGGAGGAGGAGGAGGAGGAGGGCGCGGATGAGGAGGAGCGGATCCTGTACACAATAATATTCCGGATGTTTGACGCATGCCGCCTTTCTTAAAAGGGCTCCCGGGGGGGGTCTTCGCCGCGCCACGAGTCCTCTCGGACCTCCGGCCAGAAAGCACCCCTGGAGAGATCCGGGGATCGTTTTGGGAGCGGAGATGCGCCGAGACGGCGCCCAAGGCTTAACAGCCTGCGACCCTGGCCATGTGCGAAGCTCACGCACGAGGGGGCCAACGCCGAGAGGGCAGGGGCCAGGACTGTGCACCATGGCAGACCAGCAGGAGGATTCGATCGATCCTCGTTCTGGGGACCTTCCTGGAGCCACTCGCTCAACTCATGCGTCGATGCTGCTCGGCGGCGAGCGAGGGGGGGAAGTGAGAAGGAGATTGCCTGCCCAGAAGAAGGCGGGACTTCTGAGAAGCGCTCCAGCCTTCTGAGAAGTCGTCTGCGTCTTCGGGGAAGGCTTAGAAAACTTCTCACAAACTGGGGGATTTCCGAGCATTCTGAGAAGGCCCACCCCTTCCCGCTTCCCCCCGGGCTCGCCGCCGAGCTGCGACGAACGTCCGTCGGCTCGAGGCTAACTTGAGTCGGGCCAGGAGTCGAGCTACAGTCAACCCATGTAGTAAGGATGCACGGTAAGGCTGCAAGGGTCTTGGAAGGCCATGTCGACACTCTGCGGGCGGGGCGCGGCCAGCAACAGCGGCCAGGGACAGGCCGAAATGGTAAGGATGCAAGGGTAACCTTGAAAAGTCGCTCATCCTTACTCTGCGGGTTGATTGCAGGGTCGAACCAGAGTCGAACAGATCCGCCAGGCGGGCCTCTGGCAGACCCCCCAAAACGAACATCGAAGAAGGACGGGCGGACGGACGCACGTGCGGAGACGTCCCGCCGGCGGGGGGGCATGCCAGGCCGTCATACTGGCCTGCGAAGGAGGCGGTCGCTCCATATAGGAGGTAGCCCTTTTCAATACCGGGGCGGCTGGAATGCGCGTGCATGAAATACCCGGAATCCACCACTTGAAGCGCCGGAGAGAAAAGGGATATCCTGCCGACCTTCCGCGGTGGCTCCTGCGTCCCGCCGGCGCGGCACGCTGCATTGGAGACGAGGGCGCGCACGCGCGAACTTGCGCGGGCAGCTCACGCGCGCATGTCGGCGCAGATTGCACCCGTTTGTGTTCGCCGCACAACTTTTGTTGGGGGGAGCCGCGGTGTCAACAAGTACAGTCGGGGCGTTGACCTAAGGAACCCCAAATAAGGAACGAGGCCCCTTTTTCCCATGAGCTGAACTTCGACTTCCCATCGAAACCCTGAGCAAAGCCAAAGGCGAACTACAAAACAACCAAGGAACACCGAACCCCTCCCCAACGAAAAGGGTTCCTTCCTCAGCGCCCGGACTGTACTATGTCAGGAGCCCCACCCTCCGCAGAAGCATCGAAGGAGGAGGGAGGCGCGGGAGGGGCGGCATCGGGGCGGCCGCGCCGCGGGCGCAGGCGGCGGCGGGGCGCTCTCGCTCGTCGCCGCCGCTCCCGCTCTCCGCTCGCGCTCCCCCTCCGCCACTCGCCGCCTCCTCCGACCGGTCTCGGGCGCCATCCCTGTCCCTGAGACTGGCAAGCCCAGGGCAATGGCGATCTTGGGATGCGCCCTCAGGAACTCAGGGCGTGCTTAAGATCGGCACCGAGATGCGGCGAATGGCAGGCATAGGGATAAGAATATGTCTCAGGTTGGTAATCCCCCACACCGCGAAGAAAGCATCGAACAATGAAATCAGACATCCGCTTCTGGATATGATTCGCCACGGGAAGGGGGGGGGGCTTGGGCCGTGCGCCCGTCGGCTCTTCCTGCTGGGGCGCGCACGGGGGGGCCAGCAAGCGCGCTGACAACAGCAAGAATAGCCTGCAGGCTCCCCACATCGCAGGACGGACAGGCCCGTCCTGCAAGCTCCGATGCAACGAGCAGCGCGCACACGCCAACTGGGCGCGTTGCACCAGTCCCCAGCTGCCTCGTCTGGAACCTTACCGATGGCAGTGAGCGGCGGCAGGCATCCTGTTCTATTCACTCCTGGCCCGTCCACTGACCTTCGCCCTGGCGGGTCCCCGAAATACTCTGAGCTGAGGCGCGCGCTTCCGCTGATGGTCGTCTACAGAATACTTCAGTCGGAACTCATGAGTCGGAGTTCATCGGCCCCAGTACTCGGCCCTCATGTCGGCAGGCGCACGTAAGAACGGATTCTCGAAATCCGTGGGCATCCCGTCGGATCGGGCCCCGCCCGACTCCTGGATGCTCGGCAGCGGCGTCGGGGAGCAACGGCGACCCGGCCATGTGTAGCTGGGCGCTCGAAATGCCAGGTTGTGAGTGCCCGCCCCGCACAGCTCCAAGAGTGAAGTCCACGAGCACGGACCTCACAGGCAAAAAGTCGGGAATGGCCGAAGTCCAGAAACTACCGCATCGGCGCCGCACAATCCTCACGGCCTCGCATCTCCTGCAGGCGTATCGAGCAATTCCTCGTCCTGCTGCGACGCACGGTCCTTCCATGTGCATCTTCGGGAGAGCTGCCCCTGCCAAGTCCTTCGAGCGTTGCCGTGCAACAGGTTGTGCCTCGTCACCCCTGCCCGCGCAGTGCCACTCGGCGATCGGTCCTGCCAGGGCCGAGAGACTGTCCTCCAAGGGCCAGCGTTGTCTCCAACCTGTAAGCCGCTCCGATGAGATCTTGACGCGTTGACGCGCCGCTGTCGCAGCGGCGGCCTCGCGCGCTCTACGAGAGCGCGAAATCCCACCAGCCCTCTGGGCGTAGGTGGTTCCGGGAGTTTCCTCTTCCACCCCTCCTTCTTCCCCTTCGGGGAGGGGTTTACCCCTCCCCCTAACCCCCTCCCCTGGACCTGGACGGGGGGGGTCGCTGGTAGTTGGAGCGTCCAAAACGGCCTCGGCGAGGAAGCCAAAATCATCGGTTTTACTATGGTTTGGGCCGATTTTAGAGGCTCCCGAGGGGGGGGTGCTAATTGAGGGACCCCCTTCCTTTGATCGATCACCTCCAAGATGGCCCCAAGAGCGCTCCCAAGGCTCCCAAAAACGTCCCAAGAGGGCCTCAAGAGGCGCCCAGGATCTGAAAGGAACACAGAGTAGCAGTTACGTGTGCTGTTTAGATTTAGATGCTTCTCTGTGTGTTCATGGTCTGCCGTGTTCTGTGACCGCCGCCCACTGGCTCAAGGTGTGGGCGGGCGGGCCTGTTTTACCTAGGCAGCTGATTGCAGCTGCACAGATCGCGCACTGGGGCCGCGATCGTCTCAGGAGAGCAAAAGGTGTTCATCGTGTGAAGCAGGATTCTGATTTCCGAGTAAATCTTGAACATCAGTTTTGGACATCCCTGGAGAGCGAGGTGAGCAAGTTCGAGAACTTCAGAGACCTCTGGAGGCTCTTCGGGATTCAGATTGGTAGCGGAGCCTGTGGTAGCCGCACCACGGGCTCCGACCAGTCTCGTCACAATGACGACGCCAGCAGGGACATCGGCACCATCACGAGTTGAGGTACCATCCTGGAACGGTGAGGCAGAGAAGCTGTCGAGCTACCGTTTCGAGGTGTCGATGTTCGTGAAGAGCATCAGAGTGAACGACCGCTATGTCTGCGGACCTCCGCTGGTCCGGGCACTTGGGCCGCGGGTTCGGAACGCCGCGGAGAGCTGCCCCTCGATCGACGACGTAGACGAGGTGGACGACTACGGAAAGTTAGTCGGCTGGGAGAGGGTGTTCAACTATGTGCTGGAGAAGTTGGACTACACCAGCCTCAACGACACGGGTCTGCTGGCTGAGGAGTTCTTCCTGAAGATAGGCCGCAACTCGGGAGAGATCTTCCAGGACTGGGCGGCCCGGTTCGAGAAGAAGCAGAGAGAACTGTTGACCCAGCTGCAGGCCATCGACCCAGACGTGAAAGAAGTGATAGCGAAACCTCTTCGCACATGGTGGTTCCTGCGGAAGTCAAGGCTCACCCCCGTGCTCAGAGGTGAAGTGACGGCGACCGCGGGAGGGGACTTCAACTATGCGAAGACCTACAAGACGTTGCCCACGCGCTTCCCAGCGGAGGCTCTTGCGGAGCTGGACGGCAAGGTCAAGCGTGAGCGGGCGTTGTTCGAGAACGACTTTGAGGCGGACGAGGACGAGACTGGTGGGGAAGCGGAGGAGATCTACGAGCTGGCCGAGCAGCTCCTCAACCTCGCGGACGAGGAGGAGGAGGTGGAGCCCGACGACTTGGAGGCGGACAACGAGGTGTTCGCGCAGTTTCGCCAAGCTGGCCGGAGCTTCAAGGATGCCGGGGATCTCCTTCGACAAGTACGAGTAGCAAGGGACTACTACCCGGCGGTGGTTCCGCGAGAAGATGGACGACAAGCTCCACCGCCAAGGCCTCACGCTGAGGGGAGGCCCCGAGGACATGCTAAAGGGCGTGGACGTGGACAACAAGATCGACGAGTTCGCTTTGATGGTGCGCGAGATCTGTCCAAGATGAAGTGCATCGTGTGCAGGCAGTTCGGACATCGAGCTCGTGACTGTCCCGACCGTGACAAGGTCGGGGGCGGCGCCACTGGAGGCGCGACGAACGCGCGCAACGGCTTCATCCTGTCGGCCCTGGACGAGTATGTCTACCTGCTTGAGCGCGAAGGGATCTGGGCCGCGCTGGACATTGGAGCCACGCGCAGCCTCGGTGGCGTCGAGAGCGTAGAGAACCTCATGTACGAGATGCTGGTGAACCACGACGTGGAGTTCGAGGCGCACGACGACACCTGCTCCTTTCGGCGACGGGCTCCAGAAGAGCTCGATGGGGACGGTCTCTGGACGCGCATACTTGGGACCGGAGCTTCGAGACATCAGCCTCTCAGTGATGGCGAACCGCGTCCCCATTCTCCTGGGCATGGACATCCTGACGGACGACTTGAAGGTAGTGGTCGACTGCGGCCGCAACTGGATTGGGTTGCCGACGCTGGGCAACAAGGTCTACTACTGCGAGAGGGTCTCGAGCAAGCACCTGGCGATCAACCTTTCGACGCCGCAGTGGTGGCGCGAGGTCTCTCTGCCCTTGTCCCTGGAGAACTGCCACGTCAACATGGCAGGGCGGGACTCCATCGTGCTGGATGAGAAGCCGGAGGAGCCCGTGACGGGCTGCGCTGGCTGCCTCGCCGTGCGCTAGGGACAGCACCCCCTGGTGATGTCGGCGAGCGACATATCATCTCCATCGTCATCCTCATCATCGGGGGGGCCAACAGAAAGGTGCCCAAGGAGCCCAGGTGTGTTTCCCGGTCCAGGGGGCAGCCACGTCCAGCGAATCTCGAGGACCTCGAGAGGGTCCACATCTCCAGGAGAGACCTCGAGCCAGCCCCCCTCGAGCCGACCGAGAGCGACGCGATGTACGACCGAGAGAAGACCCACGACGTCTCAAAGTTCGAGCAGCCCGAGACCGATGACGACCAGGGGTTCGAGTGGGACAAGGTGGGGGACACTCTCGGGGCCGTCAGGGGCGACACGGAGTCCGAGTGCACGGGGGAGCTCTTGGACATTCTCGGGGCTTTCGGAGGCAACAAGAGGTTCTAGTACGAGGGAAAGTCCTAGGGGAACCCAGAGGACAACTAGGGTGAGCTTCGGGGGGCCTTCCAAGAGAAACGAGATGCACCTGCCAGAGGAGAACCCCGAACAGAACCCCAAGAAGCCAAATGATATTCCTCAGCCTCGTGTGGCCCAAAAATGTTGTGCAGGAACTTCCGAGATTCCCAGCAGCTCAGCTTTTCCATATCCTACATATCAGAACGCGCCTGATGTCATGTGGAGATTCTTCTTCGCGACAGCAGCCGCCGTCGGCGCGACCAGAGAGTGGGCGCGTCCGAGGACTCGGGCAGAATCCTCGCCTGCCACGCCGACGCCAGCCCCGTCGACAGCGGGCTCAGTATCGGCAACACCACCACTGCAGATGCCGATCAACAGTCCAACGGGATCACCAGTGCAGTACCAGCCACCAGGACGATGCCAGTGCTGCGGAGCTGTGGGACGGACTCGGAGGGGGTGCAGCTGCAACGGCGGCATGTCCCACTACTGCCTTCGACTCCAGGCACGGTGCGGACCTCATCCTGCATGGCCACCTGCTGCCCTACTTGCGACGCCTCACGAAGCGTTCCTGGGGATGGGATACCCGGTGCCAGCGACTCCACCAGCAGGACCACCGCTACAACCACCGCCACCGCCTCCGGCACCACCGAGCTCAACAGTTCGATCGAGGTGCTCATGCTGCAAGGCGCCCAACCGCGCGATCACGGGATGCAGCTGCCGCGGAGGCAAGAGTCATCGATGCCTACGCCTGCATCCGGACGAATCGACCTCGGAGAAGGAACCCCTCGGCGAAGCGCTGGGGGACATCCGAAGTCAGGCCGTGGCGATGCGGTGGAGGCGCCTGGCGTCGAAGCTGGCGAAGTGCGACCCCGCGGGGCCCTGGGTGTTCCTGCCAGTGCCAGACGACAGCATGCTGGGCGATTCGGACGTGACGGAGACCGTGAAGAAGCGAGGCCGCTGAAGCCCCTGAATGACTCGGATCTCATCGCATTCTACCAGGCGCAGACCAAGGTGATGGACCAGATCTACTTCGAGATCGGCGAGGACACCGTCAACCTGACCAAGACCAAGCGCGCGGACCTCATGGAGGTGCGCTGCCCGAACGAGTCGTCGCTCGGCAAGGCGGTGGAGGCGCAGCACGGCAGGGTAATACGGTGTGGGCTCTTCAACGGCTATGACATGGGCACGGCCACAGGAGTCCGCAGGGCCATACATCTCCTTCGAATGGCACGACCTCGACGTTTGGTGTTAAGCCCACCGTGCACCGCAGACTGTCCCTTCCAGAACCTGAACCAAAAGACGGAGAACCAGAGGAAGCAGCTCTCGGACAAGATCCGACAGGCGCGCAGGTTCCAGCGGGGGTGTCTTGCCCTGTACGAGGAGGCGAAGAAGATCGTTGACTGCCACATCGAGCTAGAGCAGCCCTGGAACAGCCGCAGCTGGTCGAGGTCACCCTCCATTAAGAAGATGCGGTCAGAGATGTACGAGACGATCATCCATGGGTGTGCCTACGGACTTCGCGACGAGAGGTCTGGACTCTTGGTAAAGAAGGCGTGGCGAGTATGCTCTACCGACCCCGACTTTGGAGCGAAGGTGGGCCGGCTCTGCAGCAACCGACCGGGACGAAGAGATAACAATCTACATCGTGCCATCGAGGACGGACATCTGGTGGCTCAGACAGCCTACTATCCTCCGGCCATGTGCCGAGCCTGGGCCAAGCACATCCTTAGGAAGGACGTGACCTCCCAGTACGGCAAGGAGATCTACGCGGGCCTGGAACAGATTCCAGAGGAGGACGACGTCGAGACGTCGGGCGAGTTAGGGGAGCTGAACACGGAGGAGGACATCGAAATGGAGACCGCCGAGGCTTCTCTCAAAGGCCTGGGCGTCAAGACGGAGCTGTCGAAGAAGGAGGTCTCAGAGATCGAACAGAGACTCGCGCGACTTCATCGCAATCTGGGACATCCCAGCCACAAGACACTCTACAATATTCTCAAGGCCTCTGGTGCAGCGGTCCCTGTACTCCGACTGGCACTTCAATTTCAATGCCATGGTTGCCATATCGGGAAGCTCCCCAAAGCTGCGCGTGTAGCCTCAGGCGTGGAGATTCCGGGCGTGCTCGAAGTCCTCGCCACGGACGGACTGGAGTGGCTCTCACCTCAGCAGACCTCCCAAATCATGACCCTGAACCTCGACGAGGGGTCCGGCCTCACCAGCGTCACCTACCACGGGCAGAAGGGCGAGCGCAGCGGGAACCGGTCAGCCCTCGAGGTGATCTCTACGTGGGAATCGTGGTGCAGCCACTACCGTCAACCTGCCCTTCTTCGCATGGACCCAGAAGGGTGCCACTGCTCTCAGACAGTCGCGAAGTGGGCATCCGACCATGGGATCGAGATATGGATCGCACCTGGGGAGGCGCACTGGCTCATGGGCAAGGTGGAACGTCGCATCCAGCTCTTCAAGCGCCTCATGACGAAGATGGCCACCCACGACCCCAAGTGCAGCACGCAGGAGCTGGTCACCTGGGCCGTGAGTGCGATCAACTCCATGGACAAGGTGGGAAATCACTCCCCATTCGAGCACGTGCTGGGCGTCACAGGGATGGCCCCCACGAATAGCCCCTTCGCCATCATCGACGGGGACACCGGCGAGACGCAGGAGCAGAGGCGACTTCTGGCCCGCCAGAGCTACCTCGAGTGCGAGTACGCAGAACGGCGACGCCATGCCGAGCAAGCCAGGAACCGCATCTACCAGACCTGGGAGGCCGGCGACCTCGTGTACTTCTGGCGCGACGGCAAAGGACGGGAGAACCGACCTGGCAAGAAAGGAGGGTGGTACGGACCTGCACGAGTGCTCGTTCAAGAAAAACGGCATATCGACGGCCGCACTCGGGCGGCCTCGGTCGTCTGGATCGCGCACGGGAACACGTTGATGAGGTGCGCGCCCGAGCATCTACGACCAGCCTCCGAGACCGAGAAGATGCTGACCGAACTCAAGAAGCAGGCCTCCCTCGGGAAGACCATGACAGAGATCCTGGAGACCGCCACCAAGGCTGGGGCGTTCGAGGACCTGGTGGAGCAGCGCCGCCCGGACCTCACAGCGTACGAGCCCCCGAGGACCACCGAGGCATCCCAACCAGGAGACGGGGCAGAAGCGCCACCTGCCGCTGCCACGGAGGAGGAGACGAACATACCGGAGTCGAGCCACACTACACCGAGGTCCATGGCTCAACCAGAAGCTGAACCAGGCGAACCCTCTGAAGACGCTCAGGACCTGGAGATGGCACCACCCGCAGGGGCAGAGATACCTCAACAGCCTCCGCCATTGGACCTACCTCCAGCTGAAGCACCAGCCTCTGAAGGAGCAACACCAGCAGCACCAGGGGAACCTTCTGCTTCGTCATCGTCGGCGCGCCCTCGGTACCGCATGACACATCGTGGACCGGAGCTGGACCTCTATCAGCCGCCAGAGAAGCGTCGGAAGGACAACAACGACATGGACGAGAGCGAGCTCTGGGCGGACCTCCAGAGGGACGACCTGGACATTCTCCTGGGGATAGACGAGCACCAGACAGTGTACTTCGAGTAGGTCAAGAGCGAGGGGGCCGACAGGAGCGTCGACAAGCGCATGATGGAGGCAATTCTCAACAGCTTCGTCGCCAACCAGCGCCGGAAGGACAAGCTCGAGCTCTCATGGTCCAAGATGAACGCATCCGAGAGGGCACAGTTCGAAGTGGCTATCTCTAAGGAGACGGACAGCTGGCTTCAGCATCGTGGACTCCGACCAGCACCAGCGTCTGAGGTCAAAGACAGTGCCGACATCATCCGGGCGCGGTGGCTCTTCACGAGGAAGGCGGACGGCAAGGCCAAGGCGCGTCTCGCGCTCCTCGGCTACCAAACGAAGGACCTCGGGAAGGAACCTACGGCTAGCCCAACTGCCTCTAGACGGGCTCGCAACGTGATGCTCACGATCGCGGCTGCGCACGACTGGAAGTTGATCAAGGGTGACGTCACCTCGGCATTCCTGCAGGCTAACGAGCTGGAAAAGGACTTGTTCATCGAACCCGACGCCGTGCTGAAGAAGGCCTTCAAGGTGAAGGAGGGCGAGCTCCTACGCGTCGTCAAGCCCGGGTACGGCATCGGGGAGGCCCCGCGTCGATTTCAAGAAGCTCGGACTGCAGCTTTGCGAGCTGGAGCCGTGCATGTGGCAGGTGCGGTGCCCACAGACCAGACGCCTCATCGGCATGGTCATGGCACACGTGGATGACTTCATTCTGGCAGGCGACACCGCTCACCCCAAGTGGACCAACATCGTGTCTCAGATCCAGAAGCTCTACAAGTGGGGCACCTGGGAGGACATGGATGACGGTATCACCAGCCTGGAGCAGTGCGGGGTCACCATCGAGGAGAACAAGAAGGGGTTCTTCCTACACCAGCGCGCCTACGCCGACAAGATCACCGAAATACGGCCACCTGACGGAGGACGGCACCGACCGACAGACAACCTGCGCGACAAGGACCAGACCGTGCTGCGTGCGTTCTGCGGGGAGGTCTACTGGCTGGGCGTCAACACCATGCCCTTCCTGCTCGCGTGGGTCGCAGAGCTCAAGTCGAAGATTCCTGAGGGAACCCACAGTCTGTTCACGGCCGCCAACAACATCGTCAAGCTGATCAAACAGAATCAACACATGGGACTTCAGATCCACCGCCATGACTTGGACGATCTGGCCGTCTTCACGTGGTGCGACGCCGCCGGGGCCAGTCGGCCAGATGGCCATTCACAATGTGGCTACCTCACCGCCATTGCAGCCACGAAGGCCATGGACGGCGAGAAGTCGCAGTTCACCGTGCTCGACTGGGGCTTCAAGAAACTTCGACGCGTGGCTCGCTCAAGCCTGGCCGCAGAAGTTCAGGAAGCTGGAGACGCTGAAGGCGAACAGTGCACGGTGCGGATGGTGCTGGCCGAGATCCTGCTGGACAAGTCTCCCATCCAGGAGAAGATGGCGCTGCTCCATCATTTGCCAGCAGTGCTGGTCACGGACTGCAAGGCGTTCTACGACGGGGTGGTACGTTCGCAGTCGGCTGGGCTCGGGCTCGAGGAGCGACGTACAGCGATCGAGGCCCTGGCTTTTCGGAATGCACTCGATGAAGGAAAGACCGTGGTCAGGTGGGTGCACTCCCACGCGCAGATCGCGGACGGGCTCACGAAGGGCAACTGGCAAGCATTCGGTGTCCTCAAGCTGTTCCTGGAAAAGCAGGAGTGGACGCTCATCTACGACGAGAATTTCATGAGTGCACGAAAACGGGCCGCCATCGGCAAGGGCATCTTCGATACCACGAAGCCCGAGGACGCTGTGGCCGCCAAGCAGGTCTTCGAGGAGCGCCGAAGTCCAGGCAGCAACAGGAGCTCTCGAGGGAGATCCAGATAGAGGACGGCAACGTGAAGCCGAGCAGCTCTCGGCAGGGTCATGATGACCCCGTGAACACGGCAACTTCTTTTCCGCCTGTCTGGGAGGAACACAGAGTAGCAATTACGTGTGCTGTTTAGATTTAGATGCTTCTCTGTGTGTTCATGGTCTGCCGTGTTCTGTGACCGCCGCCCACTGGCTCAAGGTGTGGGCGGGCGGGCCTGTTTTACCTAGGCAGCTGATTGCAGCTGCACAGATCGCGCACTGGGGCCGCGATCGTCTCAGGAGAGCAAAAGGTGCTCATCGTGTGAAGCAGGATTCTGATTTACGAGTAAATCTTGAACATCAGTTTTGGACATCCCTGGAGAGCGAGGTGAGCAAGTTCGAGAACTTCAGAGACCTCTGGAGGCTCTTCGGGATTCAGACAGGAGGCCCCAAGAGGCGACAAGGAGGCCCCAAGAGGCCTCCAAAAATCCTCCAAAATACCCCCAAGAGGACGAAATCAGCAAACCCTGGCCCCCAGGGAAAGAGGATGCGGGGCGTGCACATGCATCTCGACATGACTGCTGCTCTGGCGGGCTCTCTGGCGTGCCAGGCTCCTGTTTCTGTTCATCCGCGCGTCTTCTTGCGCGATGCTGTGGCGGTCCGCCTGCGTGAACTGCGGTGTCGCAGGCTTCGGGGAACTGCTCTCGGATTCCTCGTCGGTGCGGTAAAAGCCACACCACGCTCATCTTCTCAACGCAATGCGCATTGTCGTTTTCCTTCTCTGGCTGTCCCTATCACTCTCCCTGTCAGGCTCCCTCTCTCTCTCTCTGTCTCTTTCTTTCCTTCTCTCTGCTTACCCGAATCACTCCCTCAAAGCAAACCCCGCCGTCCGCGCCCAGTGGAACCCTGGGTACATTTTCCTGACTCGGCTCGCACAGCTTTGCTTGAAATTCATATTGAATTCGATATGCCTGGTGGGGTATGGTCTCTCAATACCGTCGTGCCTTGAAAAAGTTGCAATCTTCTGTCCCGCTGCAGGATTGTTCGTTCGCGCCCAGCGGGAAGACAGTCGGCCTCGACGTGGCCTGGGTGGCCATGCGGGCCAAGGCTTGCCCGTCAAACGTCGCCGCTCACCCCACACCTCCTTCGTTTCTTTGCCTCCCGCTGGCGGTCCCCAGTCGGGTCGGCTGGGGGCCTGTGTAGCCCGAACGCGGCAGTCGGCTCTCCGGTCGGTCGGTCGTTGATCGATCCACTCGTGCGTCGGAACAGAAACAGCCGCAGACGATGCTACGCAAATCGCACCAGTCGGACTCCCTGCATCATCGCCGGTTGCCTGAAAGCACTGTGAGGCAGGCAAGGCGGGCGGTGCCGCATGCCTTCGTGACGGGTTGCGTCCTCTTCCCTCCTGCGCCGAGGCGCCACTGGCTCCTTAGACGGCTCTCGTCTCGCCCAGCTGCGGGCCCTCTTCCGCCTCCTCCTCATCGCCCTTCTCCTCCTCCTCCTCCGAGTCCTCCTCCCCCTACTTCTTCTCCTTCGCCTCCTCCTCCTCCCCCACCTCCTCCTCTGCCCCCTTCTCCTCCCCCCCCTCCTCCTCTTTCCCCCTCCCGCCGCCCGCCTCACTCCAGCCTTTCTCCTCCCCCCTCCGTCCTGCCTCCTCCCTCCCGCCTCCCCCTGCAGCAGGAGGGAGGGAGGAGCAGCAGTCCTGCTCCTCCTCCCTCCTCCCCGACCTCCTCCTCCCTTTTCCCTCCTCCTCCCTCCTCCTCAACCTCCTCCTCAACCTCCTCCTCAACCTCCGTCTCCCTCTTCCCTCCCTTCTCCCAGCTCCTCCGTCCTGCCATCCCCTCCCCCCGCGCCCACGCGCCCTGGGGCCAGGGCGGGCCTTGCTCTCGTCGGCCGCCGCCGCCGCCTCGCCCCGTGGAGGGGTTGGATAGGTGAGGGGGGGAAGCTTCTCGGCCTGAGACGAGGCGAGGCCAGGGTGGGCGCAGAGGGGAGGGAGGGATCTGAGGGGGCGAGCGAGGGGGGGAAGTGCGAGGGAGAAGGCCTGCCCAGGCGGCGGCGGGACCCCTCAGACGACCTCGCGCATTCTGAGAGGCTTCCTGTGTCTTCCGGGAAGGCTTAAAACACCTCTCAGAAGACCGAAAGACTCCCGAGCCTTCTGAGAAGGCCCGCCCCATTTCTCACTTCCCCCCTGGGCTCGCAGCCAAGATTTGCGCTGCCTTGAGTTGTAAGCTTGCAGCCTGTGAATGTTGAACGTCCCTGCGTGATCTTCGGGCCTCGGCTCTCTTCGGTCGGTGCCTCCGCCGCTCAGGCCTGGAGGGAGGGAGGTGGCGGAAAAAGAAGGAGGGCGTGAGATGTGCCCCCGAGGGTCGGGAGTACCGAAGCGGGGGGCCGCCAGGAGGAGGTTCGGCCCACCAGGGCCCGAGGCGTATACGCAGACGGGGGGGGGCAGGGAGCGTGTCGAATACTGTGAATGAGGACGAGAAGAGCAATACTAACACGACTACGATGAATATATTGCAACTACAAAATACTACGACCCATACGAAGAAAACACTGAGATTACTAACAGAGCAATGCCACGACTATTAAAACTATAATTCCAAATGCGCAGAATAATAAACCATAGTGCGGATCACGCTAACAATACTGATGCTAGCGGTACTGGTAATAACAATCGATGAAGTTACTCCGAATAACAAACACCTACACGTACACATACAAGCATGCACGAAAAGAACACTAACAGCAACAACAACACAAGCAACAACCAACACCAGCATATGAGAATAACCACAACAACAGTAACAACAACAGCAACATCAACACCACAACACCAACAATACCAACACCAAACACAACAACACCAACGACAACAACATAAGAATCAACAACAACAAACACCAACAACAAACACAACAGCATTTACAACACTTACAACAACATCAACACACACACAACAACAACAACAACAACAACAACAACAACAACAACAACAACAACAACATCAACACCACAACACCAACAACAACAACAACACAACCAGGACAGGGACCTTCCTACAGGGAGCCGATGGAAACCCTACAGGGATCCGATGGAAACCTTAAGCGCATCCTACAGAAACCCTGCAGGCATCCTATAGAAACAGCTGCAAAAAAACGCCTTCTGGGGATCCTACCAGCTGCCATGAGATCCTTAC